AATGAGACATCAGACATCTAAAACTTCAAACACCGAACTTCGGAGGCCAGAGTTAAAGTGCATTCTTAGAGATGTGTTTCACTGTTCTGCCTTGTCCCAATTCAGTGTTTGAAGTATTGGACAATATTTTCAAATTTAGCATTTGAAGTATTGGACTATATTTTCATTGAAAACAACTATGGCCTGTTATATCAAGTACCAGATTTGGGAAGGTAGAATGTTTACTTAAAACAATAAAACCAAAAATGGCTTGACCAATCCAGGTGCTTGCTTATAGTTAAGGGGTTTTGGGCCATTGCATATCATATCTACATGCCCCAGGCCCTGAACTATAATTTTCCCTACACTTATTCCTTGCCACACACGCTTACATGCATTTCTAATTTGAATAACATGTCTTCCAGGTATTTCAGGACCTTGGGTTTGAATATAACACTTCTGGGTTAACGTGAGTAAATTTCATTCCTTTTTACTTATTAATTTGCATCACAATTGGGAAGGACTGCAGTTTTCTTATTCTTTTTCTTCTTCCTCTTTATTTTGTTCAACTGTAAGGAACTTCACTTTTCTGAAGTAAAAAGTAATGGGGGATTCATGCAGAGGGAGTACATTGGATAGTCATAGGCTCATAGAATTTGCTGGGCATCAAGGAGTCAACAAGCAAAATGCTCTTGTACAAGAGTTGCTTCTCAACTATTTCTGCCAGGGCAAATACATAGGCAATCGGTAAGTTATAGTGCTGATGGCTTGTGTGCTTCGAAAAACTTTAGAAAAAGTTTAAAAGGAACATAAAGGAGAAAAAGGAAAAAGATAAAAGAGATTTGGAAACAAATGAAGTATTTGATGTATTAAATTTAAAAGCCAAAAGATAACGATTTGTGCTTCTAAATGTTTACTTGTGGGGTTTGTTACAGGACTAGGGTTTTTTATCAGAATCACTGCTAACCAAAAGGCATTTGAAATTGGTTGGGCTTTGATCTGTATACGGTTTTGTATAACTAGTAAGAAACCTTTTGAGTTTGAATTATGCTTTGCTAACTTTTTCTAAGAACATTTTTTTTTGTAAAAAAATGTTTCTAATATGTTAAAATATCATAAACTTTTGTTTTTCTTTGTATAAATCTTCTCTGTAGATATCTTCATGATCTTTTTTTATTTCTGTAGATATTTTATATATTTTATATTTTGTCATATAAGAAGTCTCTTTGGGACTGAGTCCCAAGTCAAGTTTTGGTTTTTAGAATGTCCCAAGTTGTTGAACTGTAACCATCTTATTAGATTCTTGGTATGTGTATTTTTCAGGCATCATCATCACTGATTGTCAGACTATAATTTCATATGCCATTAACCTCACTTCTTGTGCATCTTTTCTAAATTACCTTCCTTTTTTCCCTTGAAGGCTCTGGAATTGTGGTTCAACATGCAGAGGATATGATGGATACCCCTGTTCTAATACAACTAAAGGCAGAAAGGATGACTAATATTAGAAATTTAGTTTGTGGAAGTTATTTGAACTATTTTGAAAGTTGAGGTTATTTGTGTTTCTCTCCTAATTTTTTCTTGGTCTATGAAGACCTCATGTCTGTTTTTTTGTGTTATGGCCTATTGGTATGCAAGTTCCAGTGACTAATTCACATGGAACCAGATAATTAAAATCTTATCAATCACCCGGCTATTTTTTCCCCTATTATATTGGGTATGTTCATGCTATGTTTCAAAGATATGCTTACGAAGATGCTAAACGTATTTCTACAATATGCTTCATGATGCTTAAAGTTATTATTGTAGAACAGTTTAAGCAATTTTGATTCAAGAAAGAGAAACTTCTTATTGCTGATGCAGGCAAGTTCTCTTGGAAGCAGCAAATAAGGTTGGTGTTGAGGGAGCACGGGAGTTGCTTGATGACCCAAACAAGTGCCTTGAAGAGGTATGTTTCAATACTCCAACAGTCCAATCTATAGTTGCATTATCAGCTATTTGCTTGATTGAACCACCGATTACTCAATCTATTGGATGATAAGCAATGAAATCTAGAATTAATTACTGATATTCCAGATTGGAATTTGGAATCACTCAATATATATAAATATAAATCTCTCTCTCTCTCTCTCTCACTCACACACACACACACACACACACACAAACAAACAATAAGTTTGGGTGTGCTACAAGGACTCCAAAGGTGCTAGACTCTAGTCCCCTTTTGCAGACATCAAATTTCTAATAAAGCCATAAATTTCCTTATACATTGTCTAATATCTACACATTTGTTCATTTTTTTATGTTTAGTTTACTGATTAGTGAGACATCTACTATTTTTTGGTATATGGTAAGTTATTGTAAGATATCTCATTTGAGCACAAAGTTTATCACGTTCACACCTGTGCAAACCATTTTTGCCTGTACATGCTCAGCTTTCACCTGATTTTACTTGGATTTTGACTTGATTCAATTGTTTGTTGAAGGTCAATGAGGGCCTAAACAAGTATTCTGCTGCCATTTCAGGAGTTCCAAACTTTTTGGTGAGCTCAGTCTTGTTTAAGTTACAAATTGGACTTCGGTTTCTTGTACTTAGAGCATCTGTAAATGGAATTGTCCCTTCAATGTTCGTATTCTTCTTTTTGCAGATTAATGGCAAGTACAGGTTAAATGGAGGCCAACCACCTCAGGTCTTTCTGAGAGCCTTTCAAGCAGCTGCAAAAGAGAATACTCTATGATAAAGCCAAAGTTATATATGATAATAATTTGCATTTAATACTGATATTTTTCACCATACCACATATATGGATCATGGGCCTCTTTCTATGGTGACAACTAAGAAAGCCAATAAATGGGATATATTCCTTTAACATGCATCTCCTTTATGGCTATGGTTGCTTTACTTTTTTTTTTACTAGCTAATCCATATTGTTGTTCGGTTCGAGAATTTTGCCAATGTAAGGAATGCAATGTCCTGTTTGGTAACTGTGAAAATATGAGAAAATGACATGTTTTCTCAGGAACTACACTTATCACTGTTCGAGAATGGTGAAAAGTATGGAAACGTGAAGCTCTACATCTTTATGTTTCCATGCTTTTCCCCATTTTTGAGGAAAATTGTAGTGGATTCTGATGATTTTTCAGAAAGATGGTAAAATACAAGGCCAACCTCGTCCCCATTTTATTTCCCTAACCTTGTGATATCTCCTCTCTCAAGCTCTCTTTGCCTAAGCTCTAGTTCGAGTTCTCTCGTTTTCACAAGCAGGTTACCAAACAAGGGTTCTCAGCTTCCAAAGAGTTTTCTACTTTTGACTTTTTTCTTAGGCTTCCAGTTTATCAGATATTCTCCAAAAAAGAGAAAAATAGCTTTTTCTTACCAAACATACCTACCCTCGGTTGTATTCTTCGTTTTGAAATCATCAAAGGAAAGCGACAAAACGTTAAAATGCATAAATGTGGAAGTATATGGGCCATCCACCAATCATTCTTCTTGATGTACCGTGGATATCGCCTATACTCAGCTTATTTCCCGTTATCAAGAGCAAACTCCTTTTTTGTATCATAAGCGACGCACTGATGGTGTATGGTATACCTAATAGTCATATCAGATTCGTTTCTCAGTCTTGTTTGGGTTAGTAAGAAAAACAAAGCAATTCAGTGTTTCAGCCAATTTGGGGGAAGATTTTGAATTTTTTTTTAAAAAATTGATATAATCAAAGTATATATTTTATATATAATAATACTAAAACAATGAAAAATAAAAAAAAATCAAAAAAAGCAAAAAAAATGGATATTATATGGTTCAATTTTTTTATATTCTATGGAAGTCTAAAAATAAGGGTTTTTGATTGAAAAAGCCTTATTAGATTCTATTTTTAAGACATTGGACTTATTGAAAACTTATTTTTTAGTTTAGCTCCCTTTCCTTTTATAGAGGGATAAATGAACAATTTTGGCCCTTTAAAAAAACAAGTTCCTAAGGTCTCATTTTTTCTCATCCTGCACATTATTTTCCTTAGTGTCTTCCCTCCCCCATTGTCTCTCTCTAAAAACCTGATTTTTTTAGCTCTTAGCTCTCATATTCTTCCTCTAAAAAGCAAACTCATTATTCCGTCTTCTCACATTCTCTCTAAATACCAAACATGTTCTTCTCCACTATTAATTTCTCTATCTAGAAACCCAATCCAATTCTTTTATCATCTGCATATTCTCTTTTTTTTTTTAGAGAAAGTTCTAAGATATTATTAATCTAGAACGAGATTACAGAATCCAAAATAACGGCTTCAAAGAGGGTAGAAGCTCCTTTGTCCAAGGAATCAGCTAGCACATTAACCTCCCTATACACATGAGCAAAAGAGATAGAAAAAGAGGAGGCAAGATCTAAAATCTGAAATAACAAAGATTTCAATTCCCAAAGAAGTTTTTGATCTCTTTTGCACTATTTCACAACATTGAGGGAATCCCTTTTAATAATGTAAGATGCCCCCAAATTCTTCTCCACAAGGGAACAAAGGCCAAAGAAAAGAGTAAAGACATATGCATAATTCGCAGTCCGCACCCCAAGTGACCCTGCATAAGAGAAGATCACATTACCCATCCAATCCCGAAAAACCCCTCCAAAACCAGCAAGACCCGGGTTACCCAATGAGCTACCATCAAAGTTGAGCTTATAAACCCCCAAAGGTGGGACCATCCGTCTACCCTTTGGGCCTACACTTTTGGAAACCCAAATGGAAAAGGTTAAAAAGATTACATCTCACATCCACTTCAGAAACACTCTATCCGCAACTCGTAACAGAGAGGTACAACCAGATGAAATGCAAGATTTTTTCCAAAACTTTTCCAACCGGCAAAGAGATACCTTCAAACATTCTTCTATTTCTCTCTCTTCAGATCTCCCACCGAATGACACCTCTAGAGATTTGCCATACAACACTCCCAGTCCTTGGTAAAGTAACTGAAAGATTATGAAAAACCCCATTCACCAACAGTGGCATTACCAATGTAGCCTCAAGCTTGTCAAAAAACCACCTCCAAATGCGACTGGCAAACAAACAATGGAGAAAGAGATGATCACCAGTCTCTCCATCTTCCTTGCACATGAGACATATATTCGGTAAAATTTTCCCTCTATTAATCAGATTATCAACCGTGAAAATTCTGTTTTGAAATGCCAACTAAATAAAACCTTGCACTTTGAGAGGTAGGGGCCATTTCCACAAGATAGCTATTTCAGGCATAGACCATCGCCCCCTATCATGGTAGAGTAAATGATACATAGATTAACTGAATAAATCTCATTTTTGTCAATCTCCCAAACAACCTCATCAGAAGCATTATGCGGGATATAAACATCTGCCAATAGTCTATGAAGATCAGCAAATTGAGATAACACTAAATCAAAAACCTATTATAAGGCAGAGCAATATTCCACTCAACATTACTACCCCTGAGAATAAAAAGCTCGACAATAATGGCTTCTTGATTAGTCATCAAATGATAAATCAAAGGAAAACTTAATTTTAATGGCCAGTCCCCCAACCATTTATGATGCCAAAGGGAGATATTGCAGTTATTACCCATACACCACCGAATATCACGACGTATAAAGTCTTTACATGAATGGATAGCCCTCAAGCTGGCTGACATGCCCCTTACTCCATTCCTATTCCCCACCCACATACCAAACCTATCAGTTCCATACTTTGAAGAAATCACTTCGTACCAAAGGTGGTCTTTAAGAGTAAGATATCTCCACCACCATTTACAGAGCAAAGCTTTATTAACCAATTTGAATTTCCTAATCATAAGCCCCTCTTCCTTTTAGGCGTACACACTCTATTCTAGTGAAGGAGATGGAACTTTTTCTTCTCCACAAAGGACTCCCACACAAAGTTTCTCATCATACTCTCTATTTTCTTTACTATCGAAGCAGGGATTTGTATAATAGACATCTGATAAATAGGCAAGTTTGATAGGCATGCCTTAATGAGCGTAATCCTCCCCCCAAAGGATAAATACTTAAATTTCCACAAATCTAGCTTAACTTGGATACGCTGCAAAATTTTATCCCAAACTGCAATATGGAGACGACTATCTGAAATTGGCGTACCCAAGTAAGTAATAGGGAAAAATTCAATCTTACAACCAAACTCCTGTGCAAACGAGGAAACCTCCGCATCAGGGCAATTTATACCCACCATATATGTTTTCTCAAAATTAACCTTTAAACCAAATGCAACTTCACATCACTTCAAAAAAATAGCAATATTTGCAACCTGCGCTTGCTGTGCTTCACAAAAAAGAAGGGTATCATTAGCATATTGCAAGTGTGAAATATACAGTCCCCCATTGGGCATTTGAAAGCCTGCAAAGTGACCATTCCTCATTATAATGGTAAGCATCAAACTGAAGCATTCCGCATATATAGTAAAAAGGAAAAGGGAAAGAGGATCCCCTTGACGTATCCCCAGGGTGGCCTTAAAAAATCCCATCGAGGCCCCTTTATAAAGAATTGAAAAGTGAGCTGAAGACAAACAACCTAAAATCCACTGCCGCCACTTTTCACTAAAACCCATATTTTTCATAATTTCTAACAAAACATGTCATTCCACCTTATCATAAGCCTTCTCCATATCTAATTTAATAACCACCCTCAGATTCCTATCAAGGATGTGAGAGTGAATGCACTCCTGTACAATCAGAACACTATCATATATCATTTTGTCCTTAATAAAAGTCGATTGCGGGCCAGAAATAATAACAGGTAAAACCTCCTTTAGTCGCTCAGCCAAGACTTTAGTCACACTTTTGTATAGACTCGTAAGAAGGCTAATTGGTCTAACCCCAATGGAGCAATCATAGACTTTTTTAGGATCAAGGCAATAAAAGTAGACCCCTTTAAAAGGTTTCCACTTCGCAAGAATCCCTTGGTCATTTCCAATAGCTCAGAACTAATCAAATTCCAAAATTGGTGAAAAACGATTAGAAGGAAGCCATCAGGACCAGGTGCCTTGTCATCAGGTAAAACGAAAACTGCCTTTTTTAACTCTTCCAAAGAAACATCTCTATCCAGGATAGAACTCAGGTTAGGCGGTAAAACTTTGAAGCCTACTCGGCTTATTCTAGGGGTACAACTCACTTTCGAGGTAAAAGCATAGTGAAAGTGGTTAATAATAGCACGACTCATACCCTCACCATGATCCCCGTCAACACCATCAACCGCCAGGCCAGAGATATCATTTTGGTGTCTATTGGCATTTGCAATAGCATCAAAGAATTTTGTATTCATATCCCCCTCTTTCAGCCATTTGACCTTGGACTACTGTTTCCAATACACCTCTTCCACCCTCCTAAGCTCTTGTAACTCATTCAACTTGGCCCTTCTCTCCCCAGCCATCTCTATAGTCTAAGATCCCGTTTGTTGCATTACTTGGTCTGTGGTCTCAATAGAAAGCAACACTTCATCAACTTTCCTTTTTATTGAATAGCATTTCTCTTTTTTTCCAATCCATAAGCTTATGCTTAATATTGAGCAATTTCTTATGGAGTTCAAAATCAAGAGACCCACTGACAATAGTATTCTCCCACGTGCTTTTGATAAGGTCTAGAATATCCTTTTCCTTTAACCATCCAATTTCAAAATGAAAAGGTTTAGTACCTCCCAAAAAAACCTTAGAGGTTAACAGAATTGGAGTATGGTCCGAAGAGAGCCTGGGGAGTGCTTTAACAGAGGCTACAAAGAAAAATTTAGACCATTCAAGATAAACTAGGAACCTATCTAGTTTAGACATAGAGAGGGAAGTCCCACTCCCATTAGATCAAGTGAATTTCACCCCTGCGATTGGGAGGTCAATGAAGGCATGCGATTCATTGA